ATGGAGGGGAGTTGAATGAAATTTCGAATATCGTAAAATAAAGACTACCCTTATCATCATCATAAAAAAAATCATAAACAATCATTATTATCGAGTAATTGGTTTTTATACTTCAATATTAGTGTACTAATATTTAATGTCAAACATCATTTATGTAGTTGTCTAAAATCACAAAAATACAATTTTAAAAATCAGTATTTTTCGACATTTTTTACTTAAGACTACTATACCTTTCTGCAAAATGGATGATTAGAAATTATTTTTTTTTTTTATAGGTACTTTAGGTATTATTTGGTATATTTTTTTGGATATCTGGCCTAATATCTACCCACAGGAGGAGATTAAAAATGACAAATTTTTCAAAAAAAAATTAATTTACAACTTAACTTTATTTTTAAAATTGTTTCGGAAATACTTACACGTTTACATATATCTTTATTTCAAATTTCTGTAATATACTTTTATTTTGAAAAATAAAATTGATCTCTGGACTAATTCTTCTCGTAAAAACGGATATCAAAGTTAAAGAAATACGAACGATTTTTGTGAACAAATTCTGGATTTTATTTTATTAACTGTAAATTGCTATAACTTTTTTTTGAAATCGAACCATTTTTAATTTCTAATGATTTTAAAGTATTTATTAACGAATTAGGTTTGATATAATAATAGGAATCAACTACGAAATTGTATAATTTTTTATTCATTTCTCGACTATGGTCTACTACCAATCTATTATATTACAATTTGTTTGGTAACATGTTACTGAATAAGTCATTTCTAAAAAAATGATTTTCGATTTCACCTTATTTTAACAATCGATTTTTACAATTTAATCAATTTTTATAATTTAATTGAGTAGATTTTTTAACAACTCTTTGATTGATTATTTTAGTTGATATAAATTATCAAAATTAATTATATATTGATGTTAGAGTATTTTTAAACACCATATTATGATTTCTATTAAAATTATTTATTACAATAAAAAGGAAAACAATAGTGATTTTAACGAAATATTGAACTTTTTTCATTGATTTACTGTAAAAAGTTATAATAGTTTATCTTGACTACATATTATATTGAAATACCATTTTTTTAATTCTCATAAAATTTTAAACTTAACTTGCACAGTATTATTGTGATAAGTAATTTGTTTAAAAATGGGTGAATCAAAATCAATTTTATTTTTATAAATGTATTAAGTATTTTACTTTCATTTGGGATAATCTTTTAGGAAAACTATAACTGTATCTGCCCATAAGGGACAAATAGCATGAGTAGTCTTTTGCAATATTTTTGTAAATGTTTCGGAAATAATCCAATTTTTAACCGCATGTTAAATTAAAGCTTTTGTTACATACTATAAAAAAATCCTCCGACGACTTTTCTTTTATAATAAGTCTCGGAAGTTTAACAAAAACCATAATTTTTATTTAAAATATCACCCATTATATGTTGATATAATTATCTATTTCAATAATTTTTCCCAAACATATATAAACAAATATATATATATTATATATATAAATATAGTAGAGGAGTAAGTATTTCCATTTTTTTTGTAAGAGTATGTAGGTATATCTCTTTACAAAAATAAAAGTAAAAATAAAAAAGATTTTAGTTTTTGTTTTAAATTTTTTGATAATTTAAAATTCATCCAATATGTATATTAAAAGAAAGGGGTTTACTCTTTCCAAAAAATTTTGATAAACACCAATGGCTTAATAGAAATTAAGGAAACAAAGAAGTACAAGACGATTTTTATAATAGCCATTTTTATCCACTTGAATTTTCATAAAATAATAGTGTTAAGAAAATCTTTTTCCATATGTTTTAGTTTTTTTATATTGATTTATTTACAAATTAATAAGTATTTTTATAATTCATTATTATACCTTATAAGGGTGATAGCTTTATTTTTTTTAATGGTACATCAATTGGGTAATATTGAAAGAATCAGCCTCTAAACAACAAATATATAACTTTTCATATTTTTTCCATAATTTATCTATACATTATTAATTATCAATTTCATATTAAATTAAGTTACTAAAATAAGTATTTATCTTGTAATATACATAAAAATCATAAAACTTTTTTATGTTGCTTATTGAATAATACAAATAATCTTTCTAAAAATTTAACACTATCTACAGATTTGTATCAAAGAATTTTTTATGACAGTTATTTCAATCAATTATAGATATAATTTATACTTGTTCTAATAGATCCGCCACTCTACTGTTCTAGGATTATTTATTATATCTTTTTACTATAAAAAAATTATTATACTTATACAGAGTGGAACAAATCTAACTAACAGCTAATAAACTTATAATCTACATAATAATTTATCCTTTTATTTTTATTTTTAATCAATTGCATAAGACTCTATTTAAAATATGTTTTATGTTTTTTTTCGCAACTACAAAAATTATTTTAAAAATTAATTATTTAATGAATTTTTTTAAGATTTAAAGATATTCAGATATATATATATATAAGTTTTTAAGAATTTTTTTTATACTAAAAACTCTGTAATGGTACACAATTTGTACTAGTTTGTTTTTATAAATCTTATCAGTTAATGGTGGGTGTATTAGGTGTAAAGTATTTTTGATAGTAGTGTATGGGATAACCTGCACCAGTCAACTGGTCTGATATCTGTTATCATATTATCTTCCATATACTATGCACCTGAACCATTATTCTTGTACTTCCTCTCAATGAACTTATTCAAAGTTGGCACCATCAACACCCAGCGTCATCATCATCGGCCACTACACGGTGCCATGACGGCTGATTTTTTTTCTTAGCTATACTACCGAGGCGACAAGTTGATTCTTTTGTATGTTTTTTTTATGGCAAAAACCACGTTTTGATTTTGGTTTTTTTTTTTTTTTTTTTATAAAACGTTCTGTTGATCAGCTGTCACATTTTTATTCCTCAAGCGTGTCAACCAACCAAGCTGTTGTTTTTTTTGTTTTCCGTTTTTTTTTTTTGAAAAACAAAAACGTCAAGACATGATGGGCTAAGCAGTCAGTTGTGGCCTGCAGTGAGTCATTAAACTTGTTGTTGTGTCTTCTCAAGAAGTCAATGAACAACAAATATACATAAAATCCCCCTTTGTAACCCTTTCATAATGTTTATATCGCCCTTCTTTATTTTCTCTTCTCCCTTCTCTTTGTTTATTTATGAATATATATATAAATACATAAATTTTAAATAGTTAAAAAATGTTAGTATATTATACATAGCCTTTGTCTATTTACTCTTCTCTCATTTTATTAATATTTGTTTTTTTTTTAATCGAAACCTAGTAGCTACAAGTACTATCTTGCTTAGCTCGACTATTAGATCACTGTCCAGTGTTCCCCCCTTTTTTTTACACGACCGGCATTATTGTGGACCACTCTGGAACTGCTGTGAGGCATTACTTCAGGGCGACCCACACCGTCTTAATAATTCACACCACCACGTTGTGAATCAGCCCGAAATTAATAAAGAGCTGATTTGCAACGTGGTGTGGCCCCTCCCGTTAACCGGATCCCAGAGTGGGAACCGTTAGGGAGGGCTGCCAAAATGATTCACAAGACAAAAAACATAACACAAAAATAAAAACCTAAGGCACCAGCTTAAACCAGCGCCTCAGGTCCTCCTGTGCTAAGCAGCGTGGCTGCCTCTGTCTCAGGCGTTCCACTTCCTCCTTCTTTAACAAGACGGATTCGGAGAACATCTGGACGAGCCTCCACGCCTCCCGGCTCCTGAACATCAGGTTCATCATGGACTCGATTCGGAACGTAGACCCTAGTCGGGACTCCAAAGAGTCCCTCTTATGAGCCCTCGCCTCGCACCGGGAGAGGCTGACAGAGCCTCTCTCGGGCGATCCGAACAGTGGTCGCACGTCGGCGCGGCTGCTTTACGAATACGGTGTAAGTACTCGTTAAAGCAGCCATGGCCGGAATTAACTTGGGTGAAACGATACGTCATCTCACCGTAAGTTGGGTCCACCCACCTGTTCAGCCGAAACGACGAGAGGCGAGTCCGCCACCGTATCATAGTCATCTATCTGAGCGCCAGCCAGTCCTCGGGTTTGAGGGACCGGCCGCGTTCTCGGTGGAGCTCATGCCCGGCGGCGCCCAGTGTTCCCCTGGGCAGTGGGTAAATACTAGGCCCTCTGGTTTGGCTGAAACCTTACAATTCTTGTTTGAATTCAGTAGTTAAGTTTGTTAATTTATGATTTTTTTTACGATTGTCCTATAAAATCAAATTTTAGTCTATATTATGTAAAGGATGGAATTTAAAATTACCTTCTTACGTTTTTAATTAGTAACAGTGCGCGATTACTTTTCAATTAAAAAGAATATCAAAATGCTGTATAAACGTAACTACTGAATTAAAACAAGCCTTTTTGGTATCAACATTTTTCTTTAAAACATAACTTAAAAAGGGTTATCTTCAAAACTTAAAAGAATGTCAATAAATAAATTTTTGAAATATATTTTGTAATATCTAATAATAACAAAAAGTATTTTAAATATATTCCTATATTGTTAAAATTGATTAAAAAAAAAATATATAGAATGTCATGTAGTTTATGAGTTGTCAGTTAGATGTCTTTAGATCAACCCTGTATACACTACATAAAAAGTTATTAAAACCAATAGAAAGATATATATTTAACCAGCTTATTTTTAAATAATGATTTAAGTATGAATAAGAATTGTTTATTATATCTTTTTGGATCTATATTTCAAAAGTTATAATTAATATTATACTCAGGTGAGAAGAATACTATAGCCGAGAAATATTATTTAATTAAAGCACCCACGCTCTACTTCAGGTACTTAATAATTTTTTTATAATTTAATAAGTTTCTATTTGTATTGGCATTGAATGTTCTTCGTCTGTTGCTCTAAATTCTAATTCTATATTCATAAAAAAATATATAAGACTATAACTTAAAATTTAAATTAATATTGTATTATTTTAAATACCTAGTTCAATTAATTCCTCTGGTGTTGGTATAAACGTTTCTTCAGTAATTGGATCAAATTTAAATCCTAGTTGAAAATACTTTTCTATAATTGTTTTCCTGATATAATCTTTAATTTTTTTGGTTAAGAATTCGAAAAATATTAATTGTACTCCCTGGTTATTAAAGGCTCTATATTCTTGAATACATTCATTCCATAAATAATTTGAATTGTAGGGTACAAATTTACAAAATGTATTAATTTCATATTGTAAATCTTCCATTATGCTTTTAAAAAATTTATGTAAAATTTCAAATTTTGAACAGTTTGTAGATTTATCATCACATGATAGACTTGGATCATTCAATTTGTCAAGAATATCTTCTATTTTTTCCAATAAAGGACTCATAATAAAATTCTTTTTTGTATACAATTTAAAATTAGCCCATGGTAAATGTTGTAATAAATCTAAAGTTTTCATCGCGCCATTCATCAATGTTGCTATTGGAACAATTAATATGTCTAATATGTTTATGAGTTCTTTAGTATAATTACATTCACTTATTAAGTCATTGTCTTCTTTACTTTGGTTTTTATAAATTTCTTCCCATTTAATAATAGTTGAAAAAATAATATGCATA